GAAAGTGGAAATTATTTCAAAGATTGCAAGTTATTTACTTTTTTTGGAATTGTATATTTTTATATACGTTAATTGATGTCTTGTGTAAATATATCAAAATGTATCTATGTACTTACATTGAAAATTGATTAAGATAAGCTTAAAAAATATTTTAATATTTATTTTATTTTGTAAATTTTAATAGTAATAAAAGATGAGGAAAGGAGCAAAGCATACTTTCATTGTCTTTTATATGATAAATATATAGAAGTAAAGTTAAAATACTTTTTCTAATAATAATTTTTGTTATAATTTTTGACATAATAATATATGTTATAATTTTACTTATAATTTTTTACATACAATATAATTTTATTTACTATTTTTTTATAGAGAATAAAAAAAACGCTTTAATTGGCATATAAAGAATATTTTTCCATTTAAAAAACAGAGATCTTGAAATCTTTAAAATATCTTTAAAATATTTGGATTATATATATCAAGTGATGTATTATTGGAAATTATTTAGTTTTGATTAATGAAATTTTTATCTAATAATTTTAAAAATGACTAAAAATTTAATTGTATATAAAGGATAAATCATTTAAAACTGGAAACTAAAATAATTTCAAAATTATTATTAATTATATTATAAAAAATTTTAAATAGAAATTAAATAGTTTTGAGATAAACATAATTTAATATTAATTTAAAAATGATACAATTCTTTGTTTTCTAAAAAAAAAGTATTAAATTATTTATGTGAAAAATTATTAGTTATAAAGAAATTTTATTTTGATTTGATAAATAAAATTTCATAAGCACCGAAAAACATAAATAAATAAATATCACTTCATCTTTCATATAAGTTTTATAAAATTCATTATAAAATTCAATTCATTTTATCAATTTGAATTTCATTATTAATAATGAAAATAACAAAATAATATTTTCATAGTATAAATATCTTTTTTATAAAAAAAATCTCAAATAAAACCGATTAATCCATTAAATTATATGATTGTACGTATTATAAAAAATATGTGACTTTATTTAATAAAATATATTTTATATGTGTTTATATATGTTCATTTACAAAAAAAATAAATTATATTAAAATATCCACTTAGAATGAATTTATATTTCATTAGAATGAAATTATATTCATTATGAAGCTATTCAATTTTTGTCAAAATTTTATTCGATGTAATAATTTCAAAAATATTTCAGTTTCTAATTTTATCTAATTTTAGCAATTCTACTTATATCAATTGTTTAATATTCAATTAATTAATGGAAATACTTGATTGAATGAATATTTTGGATATAGTTTTTATATTGAACGAATTTATTTGATCAATATGTATGTATAGAAAATTGAAAGAGTATGATACAACAACAGAAATAATATTATAATAATTTAATTGATTAAATTAAAATCATTTTATATTTATATCAATCAACTTAATAATGTTTTTTCACTAATTTTTTGTGTGATATGTATTTTATTATGATTATAATGTATGCCTTTTTTATTTTATTTTTAGACAATTATCTTATTAGGTTTTAACTATATGAAATATTTTAAAAGAATTTTAACGCATATGAAAAATTAGAAAAGCATATTGTAATTTAATTAGACAAATATTTCGTTGATTTTTTTATATAATTTTTATGCAGTGTTTAATTAAAAATATATTTTATATAATTTATTGTAAATATATAAATTTTTATTAATTTAGTTTATATATTGTAAATAACAATTTATAACTTTATTCAAATTAGTATATTGTCATTTATATTTTAAAAGAAATTTTATTATTTATTTTTATTAATTATTCTTTTTAATCTAAAAATTTTCTAATAATAATAAGTTCATTTTCTTCATTCTGTTTTATTTCATATAAAGTAAAATAAAAAAATCTGATTGATTTGAATAAATAATACTGATTTTATCTTACAATATATAAATTAGTTTTCTAATTTATCTAAATATTTTTTTTATTTTATTTTGCAAAATTTATTTTTACATATAAAAAGAAATAATAAGAATAATAAATATTTTGCGAAAATTATATTTTTGACAAATGTTATTTCATGATCTTCCTATTTATTTTCCGGATAATTTAGATCACAAGAATTTACGCGACGCATTGTTACATCGTGCACACCGTTATGTGGTTTGCAACATCTCCCAAAGCATAATATTATGTATTTTTTAATATATTCCTTGGCTATTAATGTTAATTCTATTGAGCGTATGCAATATGTTTCTTAAAATTATCTTCATTCACTAATTCTTTCACCTAAAACCATTCATGTATATATCAATATTGATCTAATATTTATTTTTGCCTCTTTTTCCACAAATTTAATTATTTCATGATTTTATATAAAATTTAATATCAATTTTAATTTCGTGTAATGTACTTACCTGGAACAAGAAAAAAAACACTTTTGAATATTTTGATTGTTATCTTTATTATTGTTAAAAAAATCTTTAATCATTAATTAAAAACTTATTAATTAGATAATGAAATAAAAGATTTTTTACGAAATAACATTTTTTCAGAATTGTTCAAAGTCTAGAATATTGAAGAAATTTGGAGATAATGAAACAAAAATTCAAGAAATATATAGATATCATGCAATTTAAAAAAAAATTATTATAGGAAAAATAATATTTAGTATTTATATAAATTAATAAATTTTAAGTTTAAATAAAATTAAAATTAAAAAAAATTAAAATAAATTCTAAATATTTAAGCATCAAATCATAAACGTCAAAAATTCAAATTCAAAACATTAATGATAATTAATTGATAATGATATTGATAATTAATGATAAAATTCAAAACATTCATGATTATATTTTAGAAACTCAAAAAATCAATCTCTTTATTATCGATTATAATTTAAATAAATTTTCTAATTTAATCTTTTTATATATGCATGTACTAACAAACCGTGCTCAAAAATAAATAAATAAATTATAATAATAAAAATAAATAATAAATAAATAATAAAATGAATTGATTTCTATAAAATGAGTAACATAATTTCAAGTAACTAAAATATATTATATATTACAAGAAAAAGATATAAGAAATAAATTCAAGAAATAACAATAAATAATTTATTATTAATTTTAAAGAATATTTTCAAAACATTTAAACAAATGAAGAGATTATGAGATAAATTATGATTTACTAATGAATCATGTTGAATATTAAAATCATAAAAAAATTAAGGCACTTGTTATATATTTTATGTATATAAATTATTATGTATCTGATTTATTAGTTTATTAATTATATTTAAAAAAAGATTTAAAAATAGTATATAGCGATATATTTCATTGAAATTCCTTTTAAAATATTAAATCGAGTGGATCACGATTCATAAAATTTTAAATTTAATTTTTCATTCTTAATTTTATACTTATATTATACTTATACTAATAAAAAACATATAAAACATTTACTAATTTTTTAATAATAGTCATAAAATACACAAATTAAAATTTTCTAAATATCAATTTGATCAATGAATTAGATTCATTCTGTATTAAAAAAAATCTAACGAGTTTGATTCGTCGAACATTCCTAAAAAATATAAACGTAATAAATAAACGTCATCAACATAGTAACAAACATACGAAATATCAGTTAATTTTTATTCTTATAGTTTATCGCAGGAAAACAATTGCATGTAAGTACACATGGTACGCGAATAATTCCTTCTCAGTGAGAGCTGGCTGCCAGAGTCATGTAAAAGTGGATGTCCTATTAATGGAAAACAACTCGCGTTATCTCGGCTTCCACGCGGAAGAACAGCTGTCACAAGCGAAGGAATTGTCGTCGAACCTGTCAGCTTCCTATCTATCGTGTTTTTCTATATCGATTATAACCAAAATTGTCGTTGATATATATTAACATGACAAAATTCTTCCTGCATCACGTGGAATTGCACAACGCGTTCCACAACAAGTCTTTTCTCCCTTCTCGAGGCGACAAATTAGAAAGTGTTTAACGCGTTTCCAACCGCTGCTGGTTTGCGTGATGCAAATATCGTTTGTACGAGAACGAGACACGAGAAAATTGTATAAAATTCGCTATAGTATTGGTATTTTTTTGTATTTTTTTACTGGATTTAATTTGATTAAATTATTTTTATCGAATCATGATTTACGTGTTTTTTTCGTTTAATATTATAGAATAGAATTTTTTATTTGCAGATGTATCTAGTGTGAGATTGATGTAAATTAATAAATAAAATTTTCCTTTCATCAATAAATTACTAATTTATTTTAGAAATTTAAAATTGAAAGTTAAAAATTAGAAATTAAAAATTAAAAATTTAAGTCAGTTGCAATTTTATTATAAAATAATCCTTTTTTTCTTTCTATTTATAAATTTTTTCTATTTAAAAATTTTTTTAAATTTATTATTTAAAATATATAAAAAATATTCTTTCAAAAATATTGTGTCGTTTTTTGGATAACCAAAATTTATTTTCAAAATTAATCTATTCGAATATTTATAATTATATTATAATTATATAAAATATTTAAATATTTAATTTATTTTAGAAATTAATAGATAGATAATTTTATTTAGATTTGAATCTTCGAATTGAAGAAACAAATATCATCAAAAATATCATCTTTTAATCTCCTTGGATTTCCAAAATGTTATATAATAATTATATTACTTTCACTTATCTAAATGTTAATATAAATTTTACTACAAATATTAAATAAATTAAATTGAAAATAACTGAATAAATCATATAAAATTTATTAGAATGTATTGCGCGTTGAAACTTCTATTGTAAAAAGATGTTCATGATATTTAATTAATTAATAAATTTTATTTCACTCAATTCACTTAATTTAAAAAATGAAATTATTATTCCCGAAATTATAAATCTTGAATGTCATAACACTCAAAATTATAACACTGTTAAAAAATATAAAATATAAAACATCACCAAGAAAACAAGAAAACAAAAAAACTCACCCTCAGGTCGTGTTTCCACAACAACGAAGAGCAATATCACCGCCAGCATCAACAATTTCGTGAACCAAAGTCTCCACATATCTTCGCCCATCTGTTTCCCCGCTGTCACGGAATTACGAAATCAGAAGATGCACACTTTCATGTAAGTCGGTCCAAACGTTATAACGTTATCTCGTTACATCGACACCAAAATCGACTTTTCCTTTTTTTTACACAATTCCGTATCGATTATCTTTATCGTTCAATCCAAAATCAAATAAACAATTAATTTTTAAAATCCTTATTTTTCATTCAAAAATAATTTTAACCAAAACTGATACGTTGAATAAACGTTTTTTAAAAAAAAATAATAATAATAAATCCAAAAAAACAAATCCAATTTTCTTCCTTTATAAATAAAGAAAAATAGGAGTGTTGTTTGAAATAAACGATAAATATAATAATCAATCTTTTCCTCTTGTTATTGTCACAGTCTTTTCACAAAGATACTAAAGACGAAAAATTTTCCACCTGGTCACCAGACAGTGCGGTTAACGAGAGCTCCGGTACTCAAGCAACCGACCGATTGACCTTTCTCCCGAGTGCGTAACTTTGTCTGTGTCCCGGTGAGGACTGAAGGGGAAGCAAAGCCCGCCGCCGGCTGTTGGGAACCGGAGAAAGGTAT